CTTTAGCCCGGCGAGGCACATAACTCCCTCTACAACTCCATGACAAATGTTTCATATATACTAGCCGAGTTCACAAGTTATATCCTTGTGTTTGAGAAGAGCTCGTTAGAACTGCTTCCTTTCCCTTCAGTATCCCACAGTCTCTCGAGTTTCGTAACTGCCAGAGAACTCTCTTAAACAATTACTAGACTCGGTGATTATAAATCAAGAGGCTTGCATATAATGAACATATTGACACGGGTGCAGAGTTGAGTCTGTACGGAACCTAGTAGTTTCAGATCCTTGTTTAACTTGCCGTACAGCAAGGTCATCCACTACTTTAGCCCGGCGAGGCACATAACTCCCTCTACAACTCCATGACAAATGTTTCATATATACTAGCCGAGTTCACAAGTTATATCCTTGTGTTTGAGAAGAGCTCGTTAGAACTGCTTCCTTTCCCTTCAGTATCCCACAGTCTCTCGAGTTTCGTAACTGCCAGAGAACTCTCTTAAACAATTACTAGACTCGGTGATTATAAATCAAGAGGCTTGCATATAATGAACATATTGACACGGGTGCAGAGTTGAGTCTGTACGGAACCTAGTAGTTTCAGATCCTTGTTTAACTTGCCGTACAGCAAGGTCATCCACTACTTTAGCCCGGCTATAGAATGAAAACCAAGGATATTGGTACTCACAATAACTTCTTAATAAGGTAGTTCAAACGAATTGCTGTTTAAAGATTTCCTAATTCTTCAGAGCCATGTCCAGCTGGAAGCTACAAGAACATTGCGATGAACACATGTGAAGAATGTCCTGATAACACGATCAGTTCAGAAGGAGCAGCCTTGTGTACAACTTGTGAACTTGGCCACGAACGAAACTCAGGGAGAACAAAATGTGGTAAGAATTGGTAACAAGAACCGAGCTGAGATGATTATATCTATATATAAACGGGCAAAGATAGGCTAAGGGTTAAGATGGGATAAGGATAAGGCGCCAGATATGGCTTAGAATCAAGAAGGCAAATTTGTGATACGAAAAGACAAGAACCGTAAGAATCTGGTTGGTAATAATTCTATCAAAAAACTGTGGTTGTGTGGATATTTAATTTGTCACATATTGTTTTAAATCTAATGTTATTGTAACACATCTGAAGTGTACTTAAGTACTTATATAATAACGATTTTTTTATCTTCCACTACGATTTGCCAGTTGTAACGTTATAATTCCAGAGCCGTGTGAAGAAAGAACATATCGGAATGATGCTATGACAAGCTGTGAGACATGTGACGCTGGATTGACACCAAACTCTGACAAAACAGCCTGTGGTAAGATAACTTTAAAACTTATATTTAATATTATGGTTATGTTTTAAATTTGAATTAACTGTGCTATAGAATGAAAACCGAGGATATTGGTACTTAAATTAACTTCTTAATAGGTAGTTCAAATGAATTGCTGCTTATAGATTTCCTAATTCTTCAGAACCATGTCCAGCTGGAAGCTACAAGAACATTGAGATGAACACATGTGAAGAATGTCCTGATAACACGATCAGTTCAGAAGGAGCAGCCTTGTGTACAACTTGTGAACTTGGCCACGAACGAAACTCAGGGAGAACAAAATGTGGTAAGAATTGTTAACAAGAACCGAGCTGAGATGATTATATCTATATATTATAGATATAAAGCTTTTGGACACGAAGGGAAACACACAACGTAAGGCTTGAAATCTTCGTAAAACTATATCATTAGAGCCTGTAACAACTAACAACATTTAACTTTAATATAAAAATAGTGTATAGTGTATAGTAAAAATAGTGTATAGTACAAATAGTACACACTACACCGTATTATGTAATATATTAATGCTAATGGTACACAGGCACATTCAATCATTTAGTAACCTGAAATCAGGCTCCTGTATGACTCATCGCACTCCAGAGTCAAAACCATTGACGGCCTTACAGACTTCTTTAGAACACTCATCGGGGTCCTTCAGGGTGATACACTCGCTCCTTTCCTCTTCATCATCGTCCTCGATTATGTCCTTAGGAACTGCATGACTCTTGACCATGGCCTAACCATCATCCCCAGGCAAAGTCGGAGAGTACCTGCGGTCAGAGTCACAGATCTTGACTTCGCTGACGACCTTGCCTTGACTGCCGATACCATAGAGCAAGTCCAGCAACTGCTCTCGGATTTAGAGACTGCAGCAGCACATGTCGGACTTGCGATGAATGCTTCCAAGACCGAATACATGACCATCAACATTCCTGATGCTGCCCCCGTGAACTCAATATCCGGTTACCAGATCAAGCAGATTGATGACTTCAAATACTTGGGCTCATATATTGCAGAGAGCAGGAAGGACTTCAACACCAGGAAAGGCATGGCTTGGTCAGCCTGTATCAAACTGCAGAAGGTATGGACCTCTGGCATTTCTGACCAGCTGAAAGTCAAGTTCTTCAGAGCATGCATCGAACCTGTTCTGCTGTATGGCTCAGAAACCTGGACCTTGAACAAGCAGTTTGAGAAGCGTCTCGACGGGTGCTACACCAGGCTCCTAATGAAAGCCAGGAATCTTTCATGGAAGAAGCATCCAACCCTAAAGCAAATCTATGGTGACCTCCCTTCCATCTCCACCATCGTTGCACAGAGACGTGCCAGATTTGCTGGGCATTGCATGAGAGCTTCAGATCAGGTCATCTCTACCATCCTTCCTTGGCGGCTGCCACAGTTCAGGCGTGGGAGGAGACCACTCTCTTTTCTTGACACCGTAGCCAGGGACACAGGGTTGCGGGTAGAAGATCTCCGAACAGTTATGTGCGACAGAACCATCTGGAGACGTAGAGTGGAGGAGATTTCGATCGAGCATCGCCCAAAGTAAAAAAGTAAGTAACCTGAAATGTTTAGCCAGTGAATTATTTTAATTTTATATTTTACACACTGTTCCTCATGATGAGTGGTATATTAAAGCTTCGTTACCGGGACTACTGTATTTCGTTTACTTGTTAATCCGACCGACTGCTTTAAACTTTTTAAAAAGTGTGTTATCTTCAAATTAATTCTGAGACCCACTCAATTAAATCAATACGATGCTGTATTCCATGTTTACATTGTTCCTAATTACATTGTTATCTTCATCCATGATCGCTAATAAGCTTAATGACATTGTTTGTAATTTAATACTTCTTTTTCACTTGTTTACAAAAGAGATATGACTCTGAATTTTTCAGCTCCAGTACCTTGGTCGAGTGAAATCGTTTCTGCTCAGATGTCCGCTGGAGTGCTTCGTCCGCTGGAGTACTTCGTGATGTAATTGTTCTAAGGATGAACAAAGGTAGTACAAAGTTTTAGATTGTAAATCTTTAGAATCATACTGTCTAGCTTCAATCGTTCAAAATCTGGCGAGTAACTGAGATAATTAAAACCTGATTGAGATTTGAAAAGTCTCAATTATACCATTGTAGAGTCACGAATTGTATTTTTTAAATTTCAGCATAGTGATGAGAGAGGGCTATCAATGTCTGGGATTTCTGCTGCTTTGTTACAGTCATCTGACTTTTTACTCGGTGACTTTCTGAGGAAAGAGTTCTGCTAAAAAAGATAAAGAAGATATGCAGGCGAGACATGTTTACTCTGAGATTATGCTGATACCGGATGCGTCACAAGCGTCAAGCACATACTATTCAAACTGCAAATCGGAGAACTTTTTTATAATCCTGAACTTGATTTAAAATCCTTACTTAAAATCAGTTCTCATCCAATACTTTACAGAGATTGCATCTAAGAGAGTAACAGGACGCTCGCAATATCTTGTATATATATATATATTTCGTTGCTGTACTCCTACACATTAAAAGTCGGTGTTGATAATATATACAAGATATTATATAATATATATTGTTAGTCAGCCACAACTGTCAGTAAAACAACGCCTTGACTTCAAATGTCGGTAAAATGTACCTTTTATTTACAGTCATCCTCAATAAATGTAATAGATTTGTAGTGTTGTAATTAGTTTAAAACTATATATATATACTTTCTTGTGTTTTAAGTCATATCTTAAGTTTGGCACATATAAATACTCCAATACTCTCACACATTATCCGCCATAAAGCGATGTAACTATCTGGAAAGTTTAAAGAAAATCTATCAGTCAGACCTTGAGAAAATCAAAAATATATTCAAAGTTATTCACTAAAACACTCAATTTTCGAACAGATTTATCGTTCTGGTACCAAAATGCTTTACTACAATAAACGTACGGCGCGAGAACATATCCTTTTCTAAAGTCTGACAGTTAACAACATGCGTAGGATTCCCTCAAGGGGGAAGATCGTAATCGCCACCTAAAAAGCCGAAAGAACCTTAAAACTAAACGCCTAACCCTATTCCAAATCCAATATCATAATTTACAATACTCACCTATTTCCCCGTCTTTCTCCCTTCCATTTAGACCTTTTTCCTTTAGATCCTCATTTCCATTCCATACGAATGAGTACAACTACAAGTAAAACACTTTAAATAAAAATCAATAAAAATCAAGAAATGAATTAATCAATTATTAAAAACAATGAGAAGAACAACCAGAGACACATCGTCCTTCCGAGCTAATGAGGGCTGCTGTAAGGCTCTGTGCTGGGGGAGGTGGGGCTGTGGAAATAGGGCGGGGGCGCCGGCTGGGTGTCCATTCTTCATCTTGCCGCCTGTTGATCCGCTAAATATTCCAATTCCACGGTTAGGTCTCTTATTCTTCTCTCTGCCCTCCTGAGGCGTTTCTTTAGTTCATCTAACTCCTTCAAGTCGTCGGTATACGCACTACTGATGGCACTCACGGCCCTCATCAGGTCCCTTGAAGATGACATGCTAGTAACTAGAAAAGTGATAGAAGGTTAGACAAGCGGATAAGGGAGGTAATAGAAGGTGAAAGGGGAATACAAAATCAAAACATAAATCTAAAAAATATTATTCAAGTAACAAATTTGAAGTCAAACAAATGAAACTCGTGAATCACAATAAATAAATACAATAAAATATCAAAACAGAAAGAAGGAATCCTCAGAAAGTCCTCTCCATGTTTCTGAGGCTCACCAGGCTGTCCAGTGCCCGTTGAAGTCGCGTGTTGGACGAATTCTCGCGAATCTCGCCCATCACGCGAGTCGCTGTGTTGAATTGCACTGCAACTGCCCTCCTGTTGTTGATTTTCACCAATTGGTACTCCCTCGAGTTTCTGAAAACCTTTCTTCGTCTCCTGCATACTTCTGTGATGCTGGACATCACCCTGTCTCGCACTCTCCTCATCTGCTCCAACAACTCCTCTGCATCCTTAGTTTTCAAAAAGTTTTCAGCAGCCTCATCCACTCGCTGCTTCACCCACTCATCTAGATTAGGATATTGTAGGAGGATGTTGATGGCTCCCTTCGTAATGGGGAAGGTGGCTAGATCTAAACTCTCCCAGTCCGGCATCACTAGTGGGACGGGTTTGCTGCTGGAGCTCCTCTCCCTGCGTCGCTGAATCTTCTCGATCCTCCTTGCAATGCGATCCAATTTCCGCCTGAGTCTCGCTTTCTCCTCCTCTATCTTCTTCATCCTTATCTTCTGATCGTCAGAGAAATCCAAACCTTCAAACTCGGGGCTGCTCATGGTCTGGAGGGGGAAACTAGGATTAGTGGCTAAAAAATGACTAAAATAAAGCTAAGAAAAACTTTTACCCAAAAGCAGAAAACCAAACTGCTTACTAGTAAAAGGGTCAACGTGAAAAGAGTTGAAATAACTAAAACTAAAAGAAATTATCGAAATATCAAAATGGCAGCCCTGAACGGTTCGTGTTGCGAGGCACAATCCTAATATCCCTATCAGTACTGTTCTGAAAGATACACGTGTTAAGCCTAAGTAAGGTACTAATATCACCGCTAAGTACTAAATGGAAAGCCTAGCTAAGTGCGTAAGATATTACTGTACTAAAACTAGATTCCAAGGTATTAGTTACTTCCCTAACAGGGCATCTCCCCGACTTCTACTGGTTCAAGAGCTTCATAAGAACATCCGTAACAAGTCTAACTTTATCGATTCCTAGACGATCAGGTTCTCTCCGTTCCTCAGGTCTCCTAGTGTTATATCTGCGCTCCTCCCTCGGAGGGCTCTGTCTCCCTAGATCTATAGGAGAAAGCGATCCTGTTGTGTCAATGTCGTGCTCCTCAGCATCATGTGACCTAAAACTGTTAGCACCTATCGTTCCTTCACTAACAATCGGACTCGATGATCTTCTAGCGGCTGATCTCTCTCTAGCTGGAGTGAAGAACTCTGCAGAATTATCAACTGTTTCTACACTATCGCCTGAGGGAATGTTATGTGTGAGAGGTGTTACAGTACTAAAACTAGGATTAGTAGAATTCATATCTAGTTGTACAGGACTATTTACAACCCTAGGAGTGGAACTTAAACTAGGTTGTTTATAAATGCTAGCTGCACCATCCCTCTCCGGACGAAACCTCTTCGGATGAACCTCTCTTCTCCTTGCTACAACTGGTGCTCCTCTCAGTTGAAAATCTATCTCCTCTTCACTGTCACTATCGGAATAATCTACAAATCGGTCCGATGATTCCATTTTCAACTCAGCTTCCTTGCTCACAGTTTTCGGCACTGTAGGACTAGTCTCTAGTTTTTTAGAAAATCTGTTCCTAACATACCGTTTTAACTTACCAATGTTAAACACCTTCCTTTCTCCATCAGGCAAATCTAAACAGTACAAGTGATCGTTTATCTTCTTAGAGATCTTATACGGGCCAACCCAACGAGGACCGAACTTGTGCTTTGGACAATTTATCAAAACAAAAGCTTCCTCACCTTCCTCAAAGAATGGTCCCTTAACGTGCTTATCGTGATATCTCTGTGCATAGCAAAAATCACGCTCAGCCTGGACCCTCACCTTCCTGGTGATAAACTTGAGATTCTTGTACAGCTCGTACGCTTCAACATCAAACTCATTCTCCTTCATAGGCTCTAGCTCGAAATCCTTACGATCCTCAGCTAGCAGGCTTAAAGGTGTGTTTAACTCACGACCAAACACCAACCTGTTGCTAGAATAACCTGTGTGCCGATTTCGCAATGAGTTAAGTACAAAGACTACTCTAGATAACCAAAGATCCCAATCCTGGTATCGTCCCGGTGGTAATAATAATAATAATAATAGGATTATGGCCACATGGCCATCTCGACAAAACTTGAAACCCAACTGCACTCTACGCTATTGCAGTTCGCACAATATTTTCAAAAAGAAAAATGTTCCTAAAAGAAAAATGTTCCTAAAAGAAAAATGTTCCTAAAAGAAAAATGTTCCTAAAAGAAAAATGTTCCTAAATGTGGTAAGCTGGTTCTCAGAGCAGTATTCAACCGACGGTTTGCTCTCTCAACTCTACCTGTACTACGAGAAACGTACGGTTGGCCATGAATGTACTTGCAATCTAATGCTTGAGCTATGGTCTCGAAATACTTGGCTCTAAACCCCGGATGATTATCAGCCATCATGAACCTAGGCTGGCCAAAACGATCAATCCAAAACCTACGAATCAAGGACACGCTCTCCTTAGCTGTCCGGGTCTTAGTAGGAATAGCTACCACATAATTTGACCAACAATCAGTTATAGTCAAAATATACTTATAACCTCTAGGTGTAGCACCAACCTTCTCAGGAACTATATGATCGAAACAAATTGCTGAGTTAAATGAGTGGAACAATATGTGTTTGAGAGGTGCCTTATTGTACGCCTGAGGTGGCTTACTTGCTGCACACTTGCAACATGCTGCGATCCACAATTTGAAACATTCACCCATTTTCGGCCAGTAGAAATGTCGTTTACAGACCTCAAGACAATTTTCTACTCCAGCATGTGCAGTCTCCTGGTTATGCACCATGTCCAGGACAGATTCATGCAAGGATTCGGGGACTATGATCAACTCTCTACTTCCCTCCGGATCCCTCACTTCAGTCCAACGTCTCCTAAGTATCCCGTCCTTGATACTTATAAGATCAAACTGTTTCCAATAACTCAACAGTTCCTGAGGCAGTTTACTAGTCTGAATGGCAACAGGTTTCTCACCCTTGGTAACCCAACTGTAGACCTGGTTTAAAATATCATCATCCTTCTGAGCCTGTTTAATCTGCTCATTGGTAGGATTAAGAAATTTGACCCCTCTCTCTAGTGAGCTTACATCACTAGTAACCGCTGAAACCATCTCCACTACTGATGCTTCCTCTGTAGGAATAGGATCAGCCTGGGTAAGACTACAATTGCAATGACGGCTATCAACCTCAGGCGTAATCTGAACAATGCTTACAATACTAGGGTCTTCACTATTTTCATCAAACAAGAACCCCGGAATCATACTGTCCTCAACACTCACCTCATTGCAAGATTCCTCAATCAGATTACTGCAATCATCATCAACCACAGTCTCGCTGCTGACCGGTACTTGCATCCTCTTAAACAGTATCGGGTGTTTACATCTATAATGCTCACGTCTCACCCGATTTACTCCTTCTAACGCAGCATCAAGACTAAAAGTGGAACTATGACCAATGCTCGCAACATTTTCTCGAGATTTACCATAAACCTGATACTTATACCGACTAAGTCCATCACACATCTGGTTACTCTTCCCCGAGATATGCTTCATGGTAAAAGTATAGTTAGCAAGCTCTTGAAGCTTCCTGATGACCGAAGATGACATTTTAGAAAATATTGTCGTAATATTCAAGAGTGGCAGACAATCTGTGATAACCGTGAAGTTTTTAACGCCACGTAAGTAAACCGAGAAATGTTTCAGAGTCTGATATAAAGTCTCAAATTCAATCTGAGTTTGCGGCCATATCCGCTTGTGGTCCGGAACCTTACGAGAAAAGTACGCAATAACCCTCCTCTTACCTTTGATCCACTGAGTCAAAGTACCACCAAATGCGTGTTTAGAACCATCCAAAGTTACCTCATAACTATTTTCCGGATCACTAACCTCCGGAAATGCTAGGACAGGACTAGATATCAACATGTCACGTAACTTCTGAAATGCACTCTGGCAATCCTCGGTCCACTCGAATACCTTGTTCTTACGAAGTAACGCATAGAGAGGACGCGCTATCTCGGAATATCCCTTGCAGAACTTCTTGGAATAATTCAACATGCCTAAAACTGATTGCAATTCAACTCTATTACTGGGAGGTTCTAGATTCTTAATATGCTCTATACGAGAGTCGTTCATCCTGACTCCTTCCTTAGTTAGAGTAATACCGACATATTCGACCTCCTCACGTAAAAATCTGCACTTACGAGGTGTTAGTTTCAGATTACCCAACCTTAGACGAGCAAAGAGTACTGACAGTATCTGAATGTGAGATTTAACATCACGCGTAAATATCAACAAATCATCTATGAAGAATGCTAACGCATCAGATATTCCCAGACCGTTTATCAGCCGCATGACCATTCTAGTAAACGTAGCTGAACTAGATTTCAGGCCCATGACCATTCTAGCAAACTGATACCGTTTCTGATTGTGCATGAACGCCGTGACATGCCTGGATTCCTTGGTATACGGAACCTGGTGAAAAGATTTACTCAAATCCACTGTTGAATACAAATTTTTATCGCCCACCTTGTCTAAAATGTGGTTTAAATTCGGCAGCTCCATTAAATCATCCTGAAGCTCTAAATTTACCATTCTTAGATCCGCAACCAATCTAGAGCGATCTCCTGATGGCACCAGGAAAAGGGGAGAATTAAAATTAGAATGGTCAGGGCATTCCTCAACCACACCAGATCTAAGCAAACCTCTAATTTGTCTATCCATTTCCGGCTGCTGCTTAAACGGAATCCTTCTCGATGGAACCCATCTAGGTTTATAGTTATCCTTGAGCTGGAGATGTGCCTCAAAGAAATTACAACAACCTAAATCATGCTCTCCACTCGAGAAAACGGTTCTATACTCCCACACAGTCTCTCGAAGATCATTCTTGTCTTCCTCGCTAATCTTCAACTCGTCTAACTTCAACTGCTTGAAAAGACTCTCCCTATCCCATTCCTTAACTAGCGGCTCCTCATCAGCTAGCTGGCTTACCTCTGGCACTGAACAATCAGATGACACCGCATTAACTGTTTCACAGGTCACTCTCATGACTCGCTCACCAAACTCTACAGGCTTCATCTTCGCAGCCACGTTCTCTTATTAATCTTTACAGGCTTATCTGTAGGATTCATGACTCTAACAGGGACCATGTTGTCCTCAGATCGTATGAGAGAGTGCGCTGTGAATATGCCAGTACCTACAACCGTGTTAATATGAGGTTCTAACTGTCCATAAACGTCATCACGTTGACTTTTAGGTCGCAACAATTTGCCTTACATATATGAGTGCCCGAGAGAGGTGGTATAATAACTGTTTCACTGCATACTACCTTCATGCAGCGCTTAGTGGGTTTAGGAGGTGTTCTAAAACATGATGAACCCTTGTTAGTATACAGCAATCTATCCCTGGCATTAATATTGATCCCCTGGTCAAACATTAAATCCATGCCTATCAAAACCTCTGCCTCATGAAATTCAGAAACAACAAACGTGTGTTCAAAAGATTTTCCGGCAATAACCACTGGAAGCTTAATCTGACCGAAAGTTTTTATGTTATTTCCCGAAAAAGACTTAAGCTTGAGATTACACGATACAACCTTTTCAAACTTATCTATAAATCTGACAAATGATTCAGCAACTATAGAAATGGATGACCCCGTATCCACGAAGAAATTTGCTGATCTACCCGCACAATTTCCTCCAACCAAAATGCAGTTTCCCTTACTGCCCCCAATCTCGTTACAATCTTCATAGTAACGTGTGTTTTTGACCGCGGGTGACCTCCTTTTAAATCTAGGGCCACCCTTTAGAAGTTTAAAGGCCCCTGATTTCGAGGTCTATACGCTCTGTTCCCACGATGCTGGCCATGACCATTCTGATATGCAGACCCTCTGTCTTGATATCTAACTCTATTCCCAGCAAATCTGCTCGGACAGTTTCTCTGAAAATGCCCACTATCACCACACTCCCAACAACCTTCTAACTGAGGGCGAACATTCCGTGATCCCCGATTACTCGAACTACCCACGTAATTGCGAGCTGGCTGATAACGTGATTGAACAGGCGTGTTTCTACGATCATCATTCCTCATACCACCCCTAAAACTATTGCTAACTAGATTAGGAGTCCATGAACGGCCAGTGTGCTGGTTAACTCCCGACTGGGAAGGAGGACATTCAGGACGACAAATCTCCTGCCTAGTGTCCGTCATTACATGGTCCCGATTTTGCCCAGGTGCTGCAACTCTAGTTCTCTGGCCATTTAATTCAGAATTATTTACAGCGAAAATCGTATCCGGGGCCTGAGTGAAACCACCTGGTTCACCACCAACAGCTAACGTTATACGCTCAGTGTGGATTGCTAGTTTAACCGCCTCACTATAGGAATGTAACTGGGACTCATAAAGCTTAGTCCTTACAGCTATGTCACGAGCTCCTACAACCAGAACATGCATACAACTCTCGTCCTTTTTAGACTCGCAGTCATACCCAGCTTTCAAAGCAAGCTCCTCTATACGTGCAATGAACTGCTGGAGGTTCTCACTAGGTAACTGACGCAACGACATGAGCTCAGTTCTAAAGGCCCAAGATTGAGTAGAAGGAAACATCTCCTCTGAGTATCGCTTAACGAGAAGATCGATATTACATTTCTCTTCCGGCCTGAGAGAGATTTTCTGCAGTGTTTCCCAAGTGGATTCACAACGAATGTATGACAACATGTACGTACTAACATCCGAACCACCACTATGTCCACATAGAATCAAATGCTCCTTGAATCGCCTGGCAAATCTGATGAAATTAGATCCAGTTTCAAAATAAGGAGGCTTGGGAGGCCTGGCACCTGTCAAATGTGGACCAGCTACTGAACTATTCAATGGGGTTATAATACTGTTACCAAAATCATCCTCGGTGTTCGCGTTTCTAAACTGAACCTGCTCGGATTTAATAACAGGATTCATAACGTGCACGTTCTCTTGAAATCTACTGCTAGAACTAGCTGGAGGGGCGTTAGTAACTGTGCTAACTGGTTTAGGCCGTGCATTATCAATCTTATCCTGCAGGCATTCTAAAGCTGAATGTAAGTCCTTCAACTTATCTTCTAATTCGGAAATGCTATTGCTATCTGCACCAGAATCTAAACCATCTATCTCCTTCATTATTTCATCTATGCTAGACTGAATCTTACCCCTTTCTAAAATCAACGTCGCCCACTCCATTTCAGCTGTATAACTATCACACATGCTAAAAAGTGAATCTAAATGTAAAAGTACACTTACAAATAGAGTAGATAAGTACTGGAACAGGCGTACTCTTCACGTTGCTGGAAAATCTTCTGGTCAAGACTTTACTTTGCTTTACTGGAACTGTAACTTCTACGTTTATCACTCCTGAGTGGATGTACGAAAAGTAAGGTTGCTAAAACTACGCAAATCTCACTGACAAACTAGGTAATAACGTACTGAAGTCTACAAGCGGCTGTAAACTAGGTGCTCGTCAAAACGATCGCACTCAACTGGAATATACAGGTACCACAAAATGTGTAGCAACACTTACCAAGTCTAGTAGGAAGTACTGAAGATCTCGAACAATCTCCACGTAATTCTTCTGCACTGCAATGTACACCGAACTTAGCTTATCAAATGAGAAACGTTAGGATCTTAAACGAAACTATACTGAATATAGGTGATACTAGAAGGATCACGAGCAAAAATAGCAACACTAAAAGTGGCCTCCAGATATAGAAAACTGAGTTTCTTAGTGTTTAGTGTATGCTAGTCAAGCTCTAGTCACGAAGCACGAACGGCAGGGCGTACCGTAAGGTATAAATGAAACGAGTATATTAAAATGGATAATTAATTAAATGGAAAAGCAATACAAAGTGAACTTCAACAGATAAAACTTCCAAGTGTTCGCTCCAAACAATTGACGTGAATATAGATCACTCGACGTGTCTAATCACAAAAGATAGTGCTCAGTCAGACTGGCTATCGTCAATTAGAATCCCTTAAAATGATTAAGGGGCAACTCAGAAGTGAGCTCTCCACATCCGGCTCTCCGGGTATGCTCCCAAAACTTACGTCACGCCACAACGCGTGTCGGCCTAACGCAGCCAGCCTGTACCAGCGTCTAGACACTGTCTAGACGCTGAGCACTCCACTGACAGTCATCCTGTGGTCGCGAGAACCAACCACAGGCCTAGCTGTAAGTCAGGTGCACAAGCGCGGCCAACTACAATATGGCAGTATGTCTGACAGCAGGTTTGCCAGTCAACCAAATACAGTCAACCCGTGTAAAATGAAATACAAACCAAAACTTTCTAAATTCTAAACCAACTGTTAAACAGTTTAAACTATTACACGAAATGTCGCACTACCCGGAAATGTGTAACGGTCCCTTTACTACCAAACATTTCACAAATAAAGTGCTCCTAAATACTTTAAACGCAACCCTCCTAATATCACATATTCCGCCGTAAACAAAGTTAATTTATCCGAGAACCTAACAATACTACTTTACAACATTGAACGAATGAGTCTTCGTAAGCGTAAATAGGCCAGCACTTTGCTGAGCCTCTTTAGGTGCTCTTTTGTTTATAGATGTTATTATATATATTATGATTCAATTGATAAGTTTGGAATCCCAGGTATGTGTTCCAGTACGACCCGGAAATCTTCAATGATGAGTCTCAGTTTGGAAAAGACACTATCAGTTTCAGCTGCATCAACAATTACGCTAACTTATACACCGACTTCAAGGCTATCTTTGATGCCTTGAAATGTGTCCGTAAGTTACTGTTAAAGCTAATTATACGAAAGTGATAGTATTGTCTAGCTTGCTCGGCTCTTTAGTCTCTATTCTGGGAGAGAAGTAATGTAATTGCCCCGTCCTCTTAGACTCTAAGATTCTTATACGATAAATTCGTGTTTCCAACGATTTCAAACGATTTTTCGTTCCGCAATTATTGAACATATTTTAAATTACAGCTAAACCAGAAGATGAGCCAGAAGATAAGCCAGAAGATGAGCCAGAAGACGATGGTAATGATGGTCACGATGACGACTGTGCAAAAACATTCAGTTGTGAATATTCGCAAGCTACTAACCTTACTAGCAGCTCAGCCATCATAATTGTTCTCCTGGTAGAAGCATTCTTTTAGAATTTTCTATTAAGTGACCTTTTCGATGATCGCAGATTGAATAGATATTACAAAAGGACACAAACCTGACTTAATTAGCATATAAACTGAATTATACACTTTTCAAAGAAAAAGGGGAACTCAATAACAATAAATGTATTGCTTCGGCATTCAGACATTAATAAATTTGCATGATATTAGTATAGTTTGGAGCAATATTTTAAATAACTTGGGCTTTTGTTTTTGAGCTCTTGTATCTAACAAACATTTATTATTATTAAGGCTTTAGGAGGAAACAAAGGAGCTGAGTCTGCAAGTGGAATAGAGATGTTAAATTTAAATGTAATATGCTCTGAAAATTACCCAAAAAAACCTTAATTTACATAGTGAGTTTAACTTCGTCAAAATTTTCGTATCAAAATCGATCCTAGTTCAACTCCTCTAAATAGTTATTGTCTTTTTCATCGACTACGCTGGTTGCTGATGTTAAACTTATGTTACAACATACTAAAATCTTCAACTCTGGTCAATATCATCATCGTGCTAAAATTCATGATTCAACATGAACAACTGCTGTATTTTTTAGAGGCAAGAAAGAAATAGAAGAAAATAGAAACATTGTCAAAGTTTCACCGAATATTGACTTTAATATAATGTTCCTACTGTTGTTCGACTTAAACTAAACATATGTGGCAGGCAACTCATAACACTCCTGTGCTTATCTCACAACTTATAAATTGTTTTCACAGTGAGTTCCTACTTCTTCTATGATCTATATACATCCCAACTAGATCTAAATTTCGCACATCAAGTTTAAGTAAACCTATTAACTCGTTTTAATACAATAAGCCTATAAATTCGACTATCTGCATTCACCTCAATGTCCCAAATATACACTATACAGAGACCTGCAAACTTTTCAAACATGAAGATCCCGTCTATTGAAGATGATTTATAAGATTTATATTTAAATAGACCCATCATTTTGTATAACCTTCGAGAAGATTTGATATGCTATCGGAGAACAAAGACTATATCACTCTAATGGATATTTACCGAATAAGACAGAGAATGCTACCAGTAGAAATTTGATCTTATTCATTGTTAATGAACTGACCCGGCGCTCGCTACTTCGCGGAGCTTTACCCCTGTAATATTTCGAAGAAATTTTGACCGTATCCGGTGTCATCCGTCAAATTTAACTATAAAGATGAAAGAATGAAGAAGTGAGTCCGTATTAATGATGATCATATCCGTCCGTCCGCTCATTATTCTTATGAAATGCTGATTGAGCCGTGGTGGCTTGCTTTTTTGAATGCTGTCATTGAAATCCGTCTACAAAATTTACTTTAGCGCGTTACTGTCCGTAGTGTAATACAGCGTGTTTGCTAGGCTCTCGTTGGGACGTGGACAATTATTTGGTAGAAGTAAATATCAAACTGTCTCTTCTCTGGTATGGGGTGTGTACGCCGTTCTGCCATAAGGGATCACTCACATATTACGCAAGCCAGATGTCGGTCACTTTCGACCCCTCTCGTAAAATAAGCCACAGTAACTTGTAAGCATTGAGAAACATAAAGTGATGCTTCCCCTGATGTTCAATGTTAAACCTAATCAAATTTTTAAATAACAAATTTAAATTGATGTAAATTGAATTTAAAACAAATAAAAATTTCAAATCAATTTTGTATCAAAATGATAAGCTAGTAGTCAGTACCCTCCGTTAATAAGATTTAACATTCGCCGTGTTCCTTTTTATACGCTTTCCAATACTTCTTAACATCACCATGGCCCTTCTTATTGACCACCAACAATCTCTTTTGAACATTAGACCACTGAACTGACCCAATGTTCTGAGCATACTCATGTACCACCTTAAAATCAGCATCACTCAAAAACTGGGAGTACAAGACCCCCTCCTCTGTGGCCAGCCTAGAACGTTCCATTTCCCATAAATACATCTGGTCTGTAACAGTTGGACCTATCACCGGCTTGTTTTTCAACATTTGGGGATGAGCATGTGATTCCAGGAAGTCTAATATTTGCTTTGCACTGATACCGTTTTGTAGAGCCAACTGTACGCTCTCTCGAGTCATTTGACCGACTACAAAACTCTCGAACCGATGCAGGGTTTCTGCAAACAGGGCCACAAGAGCAATGTCGAGTTCATTTGAAGTGTAGGCGTATACCCGGAAATTAGTTTCCACCACGATGAACCCTTCCTTCCTTTCAGCTGACTTGTTAGAACCAGCAGAGAGGAAGTCTATAGCATGTCGAGTAGGGTAAAACCAGGGTGAGGTGTGTTTACGTTGATACACTAAACCAATCTGTCTCAGATGTTGAACGAATGTAGCGTGAGATCCTATCGGGTAAGCTTTACCCAGGGTTGAGAAACTGAGTTGGAATATAAAGGCTAGGCATGTGGTGAGGTTGAGGTCGATTGTGTCACACTTGTCAAGGTATTTGAGCATGAAGTACCATATCTGAGAGGGAGCGTCGAGGAGGAGAAACTGGAATCCTACACTGGTGATGGCATGTTCATTTCCACTTTTGTTAATCATACCGGACTGTAGCAACAAGTTAGCTATGTCTGGACTCACTTTATCTGAATCAGAGTTACCTTGGACCATGTACTGCAACAGACATTCCCAACGTTCCTTAGCGTACAAGTCTAAGAATTCAACAGTTTTGGGTTTCTTGTCAGGCTCCAACTGATGGTTACCATACCAGGACATCCCGCCCCCACACATAGCGGTTGTTAGTCCTTTTCTAAAATTAGGATGTAAAGTCACACCATCGTTACCGTTATCTAACTTAACCACACTCCACAGCCTCACTGATTTCAGCTGTTTTGTAGCGTCCAGGTTGGCTTTATCTCTAACATTAACAACCCATGAAGTTAGCGCGTCCAGCGCAAAGGGTTGGGACAAGAAGAGAAGCCGCATGACATACTGCTGAGCAGTTTCAGAGAGAGATCTGAAGAGAGCTAGACATGTTGCTGGGTGGGTGTACAGTCGATCTTGTGTGACTTGGGGCAGTTTCTGGATGTACTCGTGGATGTTCCGGATCTTGACTTTTTCTCCGCCACCCATGCTAGCTTGCTGGGAGTATCAGAACAATTAGTTTGTAATTATCTAATAAATTCAAATAATTTAAGAGTTCAATTGTGGTACATGTCTAAGACGACGTAAGGAGTCCGATATCAGTTAGTGAAATTTGTTTATCATTGCACTAAAATTATTAATGATGTTCAAGATGTGATGGACTGCTCAATTTAAAAAATACGGCTTTTAAAAAAGATTTTATTGAAAATGTGCAACAGATAAATTGATGAAATACAGCCAAAATGTCAAAATATTCATACATCAAAGATATTACAATTTATAAACCTAAAAACGTATAAAGACAATAATAATGGAGGAACTAATGAAAAGTTAGGTAAAGTTTAAATCTTGTCACAGCCCACAGGAGGAAAAGTGACGATCTGATCTGGTATAACAGTTGAGTCGATCAATTCAATTTGATCTTACAAGAGGTAGAAGTAGGCTCGCAGTCCGGATATTCCTTGAGTTTAGGATCATCAAGTAGCGACTCCTGAATACAAGCACACCGTACAGTCTCTCCAGGGAGGTGGAGTTGGCGTGGATTTCCCACCCAATCTCTCGTTATTCCGCCACTGTGTAAACAGATATTCGTTCAGTTGTGGTATTAACATTGATTAAGTTAGATTCTAAAATGTAGAAACATGAAAGTGTTCAGAAGTAAGAATTTAATGACAAAAGACTCAAACCTCTTCTCAGTGCACCAGACCTCAGCTTTCCCAGCACCCTGATCGTAGTGGCTGTTACAGGAGGGGAACTTCCGGCGAACTTCACCCTTCTCTTTCTCTATAGCATTGAGTTGTGAGAGTGAGTCTTCAACTTCGCGCCAGTGAGCAGTTGGCAGCCCTCCAGCGGTGAAGAACGGACCCTGGGATGGAAGGAATTTAGTCAACATTCTGATTATACAGAAGAATGTTAGACTTAGATTGGATCAAGGTCTAAATTCAGTAGATGCAAATTACAAATGACCTAAACTGTAAATCCTAAATCCTAACCTCAAGTCTACCAACAAAAGGGTACTTCTTGCTGAATATGTTGATCCAATGATATATCTCCCCGATTTGCTGTACAGTTGTGCCAGTTATGTCATCAATTAACCCTTCGTCGTCAAACTGCCCTGTCGAGTATGCCCTCGATCCATCCTTGCCTGGAATTCAACCTTAATAATTGGTGTTATTTTTGAAAAAGACTGCTTACCTGACTGCTTAGCTCTTAGTGAATAAATATTTTGAGTACATTACTTCCCAAATTTTCCCGAAAAATTAGATGGGCCCATATTAATACATGCTCACTGCTCATCATAGTAAAATGACTAATAATCATTGAGCACGATACCCTCTGAAAACACTATTAAACTCAAAACAAGAATAATTATAATACCAGCAAAGAAATGATAAGACCCCCCGTCGCCGTAATGTCTTTTTCCAGCAGCAACATCGTAAATCTGTCCAAGAACTGCTACCCATGGTCTTTCTGAACTTGGCCTGGATTTTTTTACGGATTAATTTATTAGTTTATTACAATATTGCAGCAACATAACCTATATTTAGATAAAGTTCTGAGACTTTTCAAGCATATTATAAAGTCTAAAAAGTTTTTAAAATGTGATTAGGACATCTAAGATTTGAGCAACCGACATTATAGAAAAGAAACAAATCATAATGACCCATGCTCAGCTAGCTCTGGTTTAGTCAACACTCTTCCTCGGTAAACATTGGCTAGTTTTTTCTTGCTCCCATAAACTAGTTCTTCAGAATAAAGTGTCGAGTCGTATTGATCAGCTTGTTCCCTTTGTTCGGTTTGTGATGTTTGTTCCCTTTGTTCGGTTTGTGATGTTTGTTCCTTTTGTTCGGTTTGTGATGTTTGTTCATTGGAAGGAACAGGGTCGTCTGATGTAGGATTGTGTGGATTCTTTAGGTTACTCTGAGGACAGGAAAGATGACAATAACATGTCAACAATTCAACATGAGTTATTAATATCAATAGACGTGGCTACAAAATATCAACAGATGTGTGTGTTTCCTTTCGTGTCCAAGTACAACAAGTTATAGATTGCAGTTGGATGTTATAAACAGAAAAGCTAAAGTACGATTTTGTTTGACCCTACCAGTGATCCAAAGGCTGCATGGAAAGGACATGGTAATTTCCCATCAGGTGAGGTCTTCTGTATAAAATGAGCTCCAATAGCTAGTAGTGCTATTGCAACTGTCAGGAGTAAGTAAGGCCACAGTGGTTTCTGTTCCTCGGGAGCTTTTATTACAGTCGAGTGTTCTGATGCTTCCGACGAATCATCCTTTAGTTGAACCATATACTAAACAAATATTACTAGTTTTAATTACATCCTTTAGTTGAACCATATACTAAACAAAGATTACTAGTATTAATTACAATACAAATAAAAATATATCATGTTCCATAACTTGAACGGCAAACATTTTTGGTGGTCCAAAATTGTAAGAAAGAACGGATAATCATGTCATTTTATATCATTGTATCCAAATTATTGTGGACATTAGAAATTATCGTAGATTTGAAGATAGATAAATTTTGTTTGATGATCGATATAACACACGAATCAAAACTCAATTGATTTGTCATTTGTGAGTATGATAAAACTGAAGTTACTGAGTTAAAATAATTTCCAATCTCAAGATATAAAAAGAAATAAATTATTAAATAGATCATGTGTAGTCAAAGTAAAATCATCCCAGAATTCAAACTTCTTCCAATTTCCCCGACAAGAAAGAGTGAGGAGGGAGTCAGGAATTTATTCGTCTTCGTTTAACCGCATATCTGGAATACCTCTACTGATCGGGAACTTCCGACCCGTTTCAGGGCATTCCAGTTCTCCTTCGATTACTTCAACCTCCAACAAAACATGATGTATCTGGTAATAATAAAGTTTAAGTATAGTATAATATGTCAATACGAGCCTTATTTTTCACTCTAGTCTCATAAACTTGTACTGAGGGTATTGGAGTAAATATACATCATGTCGTTTGATCGACCAAAGTGATCCTGAACGAAGCTTGATCAGGTTATTGACTACGATCTCAATCGGTTCATCAATCACAAACCTTTTTCAAAACGTCCTCATCATCAAATTTGTGTTCCTCAGGAAGCATTTCAGGTAGACCATCTCCAACACCCAGCTGGTTAGCTATTTCAACTAATGCTGACCACTCTAACCGAGATAACATTCGGTTTACAAAATCTGCGTTAAATTCGATTTCTTTCACATCGACCTGCAAGGTGATCAATTTCGGTTAGAATATTTCGAGTTAAAATTTGTTTTGCTGAACCATGTTTTCGGGTTTTTCAGATCTAGAGATCAATGACAAATGTTTAAAAAATGAAATGTTTCGTCTGTTCTGTCCATACCTGAGTAGATGAAAGTTTCAGAGGAAATCCGTTAACCACGCCTTTACAATGCGACCTCATCATGTTATGCGTTAAAAGCTTCATCCTCACTGGGATATAGTATAAACTGTGTCAGGTCTACAAATGTATTACAATCAATGCACTATTAATATATTAACATATCAAACGACGGTATTTTTTGTTAAAATAATATCAGTGTAATTCTGCATGGCTGAAATGTAACGGTTAAATTCTTTATTCTTTAAAACAACCAGTTATATAAGACAACTAGATATACTCAGAGGTGATGAAATGAACATAGTTTGATGAAGGTTGATCAATATAGTAGATTATACTATATACAAATTATATTACATGACACAAGTTGAATTTGATAGGTTATCATGTATAAAAAACATTAGCAGTCCTAAAATACGAAATACATAATTTACAATTATTTATCTTTATAAATATAATGATACATCACGACAAGTCAATCAGACAGATAAAAAAGATAAACCATCAATTATAGCATTATTGAGTATTGATACAATTAACGAAATAAATTAAAACTGATACTTATAAACTGCAATCCCAGTATCATAAATAAAACTTAATCCCATAGCATAAATCGCTCTATACTTATTTGGAATATATTTAAAATTAATTGCCTGAAAGATAAGCCAAAATCCAGCTGACCCAAGCCACCCAGTTAGGAATTTCTGCTCAAATTCACTGGCTGCCTTTTCATGACTTTGAGTTTCAAATAATGGTAAAGCATAAAACAAAACTGCAGCATCGAATGGTCCCCAAGTAATTTCATCAACAACCAACTTCTTCACAATTTGCAAGGCCGCAGTTCCAGGAAACCAAATATCTAGATACCGGAACCAGGTTGCTTCTATTGGTCCATAGATTAATCCTAATGACGTGAAGGTTGCTACCTGTGAAATATAAATAGTAATGACTTTTAAAAATCTGACACGAAAATTCGAGTACATGATAAATTGCAGAAAATTCACATTCAGATGCCATAAACATATATAACACAACAAAGAAAAGCTTGTACCAACAAAGGTACTGATATATTCAACCATAATATTGCACCTGAGTTACAAAAAAAACTACAATAGCACAATTGAAACCCTGGCACTTATGAAGCATATATATTATACAAAATGTAAATACCTCTTTCCATTTGATGACTGAATTGAAATATAACTGTTGAGTTAGGTCACCAGCAAACATAAAGAAACCACCAATCAAGGAGTTAGTTATAAGGGGTCGCTTGTCAAGAAGCTTCTGGAATGTCCTTAAAGGTGATTTTAATCGTTGTGAAGTTGATGTTGACAACTGACGGCATTGTAATAACTGTGGTCTTTTACAACAAATTCTGCACAATATGGACATGGTACCTGAATGAGATACAAAACATAACATTTTGCTGTCGAATATGGTATACTATTTAATAAACTACCGATCTAATCTATTAATTAGTTGATCTAATTTATTGAATATCTGAACATTGAATACAAATTTGGCATAGTTTCATTGACACATGACGCAAGTTGAATTTGATATGTTATCGAATAAAGAAATAGTAAAAGTCATAGAATATAATTACAAACATAAAATTTACAATTCATCTTAATTAAATGATACAATACAAGAAATGCATCACCGATAAAAAAGATAAACCATCAATACTTTAAAATCATCAAGACTTTTAAGTTAGTTTAGTTTGTTGCCATCCAGCCACACAGTATTCAACTTATATTGCAATACCGTTGTTTCCATTAGTTGCATATCAAAAATAACATCAGTGTAATTGATACATTTCGGCTTAAATGTATCACTTTATTCTCAGAAGTAAAAATAACTTTAATTTTAAAATACAAAATTAATATTTTTTATTGATGATCCTGTTCGTTGGAGAAGATAAAGGCCTTGCTCAGCAATGGGTAGGGTTTGCAGTTTAGATAGCCATGTGGAACACTGCAAATAAATTATTCGAGATTCTTCTCGAATAATTTTCAAGACTTGATGTCAATTTATTATCCGAGAAAAAGACGATTTATGAAGGAGCAACCTTACATTCTACCTACTACTCATTTCTCAAGATGTCCACTACATGATGTTGCTCTAAACCAATCATACCATTATATCATACTTTATACTCATTAACTTATTATCTATTTACTATATGTTTTAATTCCTAGTCCTTAGAAGGGTACTCTATTAACATTTTTTGACTGATTTGAATGTCCTGCACAGCAGATCGAAGCATCTCTAAATTATTTACTATTATTATTGTATTGCTGTGTAAATTTGATTATAATTCTAATAATTCTAATTCTACTACTTTGACTTATGTCCCTTAAAAGCACTTTTAACTACCGTTCACAGAACCTTGACTTTGTTAACAAGGTTTGGCCGGTACTCTGTAGAGGGTCTGCAGCTGTAGTCCCATTACCTTAGTATTGCTGTACAACTACTACAGAAGTAATCCCGATAACACTCGACCTCTGCCTGATCCAGAGGATGTCATCATTTTACCCTCACACAGACTTCGAACGCTGTAAAAAGATGACGATCACGGATCAGACCTCGCTAAAACATTAATAAGTTACTAATTACAAAACTATCAAATTAGTACTGATACTTATAAATAGCAATCCCAGTATCATAAATAAAGCTAATTCCCATAAAATATGTCATTCTATACTTATTTGGAACATATCTGAAATTTATTGACTGAAAGACAGCCCAAAATCCAGCTGACCCAAGCCACCCAGTTAAGAATTTCTCCTTTAGTTCATTGGCTGCCTTTTCATGACTTTGAGTTTCAACAAACGGTAAAACATAAAACAAAAGTACAGCAAAAGCCGGTCCCCAAGTAATTTCGTCAACAACCAACTTCGTAACAATTGGCCAGATAGCAGTTCCAGGAAACCAAACGTCTAAATACCGGTACCAGGTCGCTCCTATTGGTCCATATATTAATCCAATGGATGTGAAGAGTGCAACCTGTGAAATAAGAAATTGCGTTGACTTTTAAAATTTTGACATGAAAGTTCAAGCATACAACATTTTTTAGCAAGCTGCAAATATACATTAAAAAAACTTGTGGAGTACCAAAAAAAGATATGACAATTATACCTCTTTCCATTTGATGACTGAATTGAAATATAACTGTTGAGTTAGGTCACCAGCAAACATAAAGAAACCACCAATCATAGAGTTAGTTATAAGGGGTCGCTTGTCAAGAAGCTTCTGGAATGTCCTTAAAGGTGATTTAAATTGCTGTAAAGTCAATGTTGACACCTGACAGCATTTTAATAACTTTGGTCTATTACGACAAATTCTGTACAGTAGCTGTAGGGACATAATACTACCTGAATGAGAGGTTACATATAAAATTGTGGCATAGATATGTTGAAGATATGTTACATAAATAAGAATTAATCGTGCATACATTTATACTGTAAAATGTATAATATCAGTTTACATGGAAGACATTTATAAACTTCATTTTTCACATTGTTGGGTGTAAGCTTTACATTTTTTTGAATATAAAAAGGTCAACAATATATACATTCAATTAAATCAAGTGATGCAATTGGCAGAGCACAATTTAAATCAAGTGTTGCAATTTGCAGAGCACAATACATAGGTAACGGAAATGGTCCATTGTTACCAATATTTTTGAACTTTAAACAATCAAATACCTTATTTCCCAAAAATTTGGGCAACGAAAAATTTGAGCGGGCCTCTCGCCCAAATTTTGTGCACACAAATTAATTGTTAAGTCGACTAAACTTTTGGTAACCAAAATTTTGGTATTTGACCTTTCAAGAAAACAACAATTTCAAGAAAACAACAATTTATTTAGTATCAATTAAAGCAAACATAAATATATTTTATAAATAACTAGCAGGACCTTTTTACCAGATATCTTAGGGGACATGGAGTAGCAAGAGAATGGATAGAAGGTATATACATATTACAACAAGAAATGCGGCCGCTTTTCTTTTGTGGATGGCCGCTCAATTTCCCGATCCGTGATGGAGTATTTGATCATATTCCATACCACCTGGGGACCCCAGTCTTTACTGTTTATAAGCATGCAGATATGGCGGAGTGTCAGGCCGAGCGCCGCCCAGTTGATATAATTCCATATTTAATTTGAAAATCGTGTATATTTCTATGTAACCATATGTTTATTGTTTATGCAACCAGACACGGATCTGTGCAAAATAGTAATACTAACTAATAATAATAATATGCTATCAATTAGTCTCCAGCGGGATGCGTACATGGTGAAATTAACAATGTACTTGAACATTTCAGCACCGCGCGCCAACAATTGTTTAATTCAGATTTTCGCGCAAAATAACTTTGCGCAGGCAGACACGTGGGCGACACGTACGCACGCAGGCACGCACGCTCGCTCGCACGGTCGCAAAGCTACCATATCCAAAAAAAAACCTTGATCGCTAACCCTTGTCCTTGACTCTTTTGTGCCTTCGGCACTTTGAGTCATGGATCGGGAAAAAATACGTCAAAAAGAACCCAGAGTGATACAGGATCGGAGAGTGCAGACCGTAAAGTTTACGCACCCACCCTTGCCTCCTAAATTCTTGGTTGGGTAGGCATTTATGCGAACTTGGTCGTTTATACTCCAAGTCCCTTTGTTAAAAAGTAATAACATTTATCTCAGGAGTTAACTTCATTCAACAATAATAATATCAATATAAATTTATCGCATAAACTAAACTATCTAGGTTCGATTATCAAATATAGGTTCGATTATCAAATATAGGTTCGATTATCAAATATAGGTTCGATTATCAAATATAGGTTCGATCTGATAAAAATTCGATCTGATAAAAAATAAAATATTTAATTATTAAAAACATTACATCAAGTGGTTAAAAATCGATCTGAAAGCTTTTCAGCTTATAGTTCAATCATGATAGTAATATTAGGTGTGTCCCGCTGCATGTGCAATTTGATTACTGCAATTTAAAATTGGTTGGAGTCCAGATATCTTTTAAGTCAGCTGCCTGTGATTGTACTAATAGTGCTTTGGTTCTCAATTTTATCAAGTTA